CTGCTCAGCTCGGGCTGGACTCGAACCGCTGTTGCTCAGAGCTCAAACTCTTGAGCGAGCTCTTAACCAACTGAGCCACTCGGCCGGCCCATGTCGTTTTGTTCTTCAATCTAGTTGTGGAGGACGCTGCTCCACTGGCCCAAGTTGGCACCATCATTGCGCTCTTCCCTGGTGAGGCAGATCAGTTGCCGGCTTCTGGACGGCCGCTCACTGCGTATGAATCTATTTGTGTTGTTTGCTTGTTTATTCTGTTCTTTAGATTCCACATATAAGTGAGATCTCATTGTATTAGTCTTTCTCTGTCTGTCTGACTTATTTCATTAGCATAAAAATAATACCCTCCAGGCCCGTTCATGTTGTGATTTTTGTATATTGAGCCTGTATCTTGCAACCTTACTAAAGTCATTTATTAGCTTTAACAGTTTTTTTGTGGATTCTTTAGGATTTTCTATATATGGGATCATGTCATGGGCAAATAAAGATAGTTGTACTTCCTTTCCGATCTGGATGCCTTTTCTTTTTCTTTGTTGTTTTCCTTTTTCTTGCCTGTTTACTCTGGCTAGCACCTCCAGTACAATGCTGAATAGAAGTGGGCATTCTTGCTTTGTTTCTGATGTAAGGGGAAGCTTCTAGTCTTTTACCAATGAGGACGAGGTTAGCTGTGGGTTTTTCATAGACGCTTTTAATTAGACTGAGTAAGTTCCCTTCTATTCTAGTTTGAGTGTTTTTATTGTGAAGGGTTGTTAGATTTTGTCAAATGCCTTTTCTGTTGCTATTGAGATGATCATGTGGCTTTGGCCCTTTTATTCTACTGATATGGTCTATCACAGCAGCATGTCAGAACTCCAGCTGCATTTCTATTATCCCAGTCATGTCCTCCAAAGGTGGGTGCTGGAGCCGGGGGAATGAGCTTGAAAAATGTGGAAAGGACCCCGAGTAGGGGAGTAAATGCATGTAGAGTTAGGAATGGGAAGGAGCCAGGGTACAAAGGGTGGAAAGGGAGGAAGTGAGTCACCTAGCACCAAGGCATAAAGCGCCTTCCATGTGCCCCTACTTGCTGGGCCTGTGTCTTCTCTGTCGCACATCTAATCCACTCTACTCTGTTGAGCTTGTCTCTTTGCTTTTCCCCTGTCACCCCAGCCTTCCTGATACTGGTACCCCTTCTGATTCCATCACATGCTGGCTGGTAGGCCTGGCCTATGGGGGGGGGCCTATGTGACAAAGGAAATGTCTCCAACCCGTTCTTTTTTTTTTTTTTTTTNGGCGGGAAGGGAGGCGTGCGGCCCACGGCCCCTGACGCCCCCATTGGCCCGGCGCGCCCCCGCGCCTCCTGGGGGGCCGTAGCCAAGCAACGCCTGGCGCGCCCGCCCATCCCCCGCTGTCCTTTTTTTCCTGCCCGGGTGCGAGGGAGCATGCCCGCGCCTGATCTCTGCCAGCTAAGAGTTAACCCGAGGGGCGTGGAGCTGCCCCTCCCTTGGGGGCGTGCCCCCCTCCCCCGCTAGGCGGCCCGCCCCCCGCGCTAGGGTATGGCACCCGGCCCCGGCCCGGGACCCGAGGTCCCGCGCACGGACCAGTGAAAGGCGTCTTCCCGTTCCCGCCCTCCTTCCTTCGCCGGCCAGCACCATGGGATGTAATATGTGCGTGGTTCAGAAACCGGAGGAGCAGTACAAAGTGATGCTTCAGGTAGGGCGGCTAGGCCTCTGGGGCGGGGGGCGTGGGTGCCACCTGGGGAAGAAGCCAGCCCGGGGGGAGGTCCTGGTAGAGCCAGGGCCGCAGCCGTGGGAGGGCTGGAGGGCTCAAGGGGAAGAGGTAGGGAGCCATCCTCGCCCTAAATTTCTGCGGCTGCTGGTTACTGATGCTCGATGGGAACCAGTCACAGATGGGAACTGCGTGGGGATGAGGATGTGGGGTGCATCCTTTGGGCGCATGGAGTAGATTGGAACGCGAGCCCTCGGTCCAGTTGGACCATGTCGGGAAGTGGGCTCTGCCCGAGTCCCGCGCGCTTGCACCCCGGGCCTGGGAGCCAGGAGGCGCGGTGCTGCGGGCGCCGGCGCGGGTTGGATGTTGCATAGCAACGGGCTCTGATCCCTGCGCAAGCTCGCCCCGCTGGACCCAGGGTAGGGGCAGGGAGCCGGGTGCCCGCGGCGGGGGAAGCGGGGCGGCCAAATCCAGGTCCCTGTGGGACAGGGGTGCAGGAGCGCTCAGACCACCCGAGGCCCCGCCGACGCCTGGCCCGCGCCGGGGTAGTAACCCCGGCACCCACTCTCCGCTCTGGCCCTGCCTAAACGGTGGGCTCCCAGGCCTTGGGTGCTTCGGGTGAGTGGCCGCTGGTGGGGTCAGCGGGGAGGGCTGTCCGCGGGCGACAGTGCCTGGCCTACTCTCTGTCCCGCTGGGCCTCATCGGGCGATGCGTGGCTGGGACAAAGAGGAGATACCAGGCCGCGCGCTCAGGCCGGACTCTAGCTCCGAGGCTGGGAACAGGGCTTCCTTGCCTGTGCGTGGCGTGACTTCGTGAGTGCGTGCCTGTGCCCCGTCTGTGTGTGCGCGTGTGTGTACTTTCTGTGTGCGCTCTGAGAACTGTCTAAAGAAATGTCCCAGATGATGTGGCTTGAGACGCCCCTAGGGCTAAGTGGAGGGAGTGGAGTTCAAGGTCAGAGGGAATCGGAACCCAGGGACAGACCCGGCTCAGACAGGTATGCGCTTCAACTCTGTTTATTGGTCAGGACTGGGTAGCAAGTGCAGGCCGGACCTGTATTGGCTGGCGGAATGGAGTCTCCTTGGAAGAACAGGGGGAACCCCTACAGGCATCAGCGGGGACGCGGCGAAGAATCAGTGCATCTGGGGATTGGGGAGGCGAGGGAAGCGCCCAGCATTTGTGCTGGGAGCCTAGTTCCTCTGGACCTGGGGAAGGGGGCAGTGGGGAGAACCTTGCCCTAGCCTGGCGGCGCTCCTGCTCCGCTCTCCCTGGGGTCGGATCTCCGGGGCGTGCGGAACCCTCCACTTTTCTCTCTCCCTGCTCTCCGCCTTCTTTCTACCCTTCTCTCCGCTCTCCCGAGCACCGGATCTCCGAGGCACGCGGAACCCTCCACTTTTGCCGCTCCCTGTCCTCCGCCTTCTTTCTACCATTCTCGCCCGTCCCCCTCGTCTCGATCCTGGCCATTGCCTCCTGGGATTGGGTTGGGGAATGACCCAGGCTGGGACCGAGAGGCAGTCCCGTGGAATCCCATCCTTACTGCTTCATTTCTTGGAATCATTTCATCAAAAGGCGAGCGGTTCCAAAGCAGTGGGTTCTGGATTTTGACAGGGAGAAATTGATGTAGTACTTTATTTCAGGCCGGCCTCATGGGGATGTGTGAAAAGTGGGGGTCAACCTGCGAGGCGGTACAGGCCCGAAATGTGCCATGTTTGGGAGGTGACACTGGTAACCTCGGGCTCCCCTTGGCAGTGGGGTAGGTGGCACAGGTCGGACTGGGATCGCCTGAAGGGGGCGGGGAAGGGACATGTCGGAGGAGGGCTTGAAGGGAAATTTCTGGGCCAGGAGTTCCTTTTTGAGAGAGCCCCAAGACCTGGGCTAGTAGGACCCCAGGAGGAGGACTGCCTTAGGCTACCGGACCCCTGCTGTTTCCCGGCCTGGCCTGCAGCCATCCCAGACCAGTCCCTGGGAACGCTGTTTTCCCTTAAAGCTCCTGCAGACGTTTGGATACAAGGGGAAACTGGATGCAATTTTAAAAGAGGGAACCACCCTTTAAAATTAAGGGAAGACAAAAGAAGATTGAATTTTTAAAATCTAGAAAGCAAAATATTAGCTATCAAAAATGAGCCTGTGTTGGGGGGCTGGAGTCCCAGGCACAGTCAGAAGAGCTTCTGCCCTGAGCCTCCTCACAGAGAAGGAAACTTGTGTCCCAAAAGACCAGTCAGGTTCCAGGACCCCTTGTGTGGCCCCAGTGCTCCTTAAACATTCGTGCTCCCCCAGCTTCAGTGGCACTTCTCCCTGTCTCCTCTGTACCCGCGGTGGCCTCTGCACCTTACCAGAGTAAGGGACACCACAAAGAGACAGGGCAGCCCAGAGAAATGGACTTGGACACCTACACCACTTGCCATGTGAATTCCTTGTGCCAGGGCTCCCTGGAACCTCTTCCTAGATCCCCAGGGATCTCTGACCCCAGGTTAAAAGTCCCCAAATCTTTACCCTAGGCTCGAGTTCCAGGAACTTTTTTCTCCTGATGGCTCACAGGCACTTAAAAACAAACAAAAGCAAACTACAAATTTATTGAGCTATATAACTCGCATACCCTTGTAAAATGTACAATTCAGTGGTTTTCAGTATATTCAGAGATATTTATCACCACCATCTAATTCCAGAACATTTTTGTCACCTTAAAAAGCATCCCATTTGGGTGACCGGTTAGCTCAGTTGGTTAGAGGTTAGCTCAGTTGGTTAGAGCGTGGTGCTGATAATACCAAGGTTGCCGATTGCAACATGGGCCACTGAGCTGCGCCCTCCATAAAAGAGTCAACTATGCCATTGTAGCCTGACAGCAATGTGTAACCAATGACCATGGCTGTTCCCAAATAAAATTTAAAAGAAAAAAAAGAATCTCGCACCCATTTCCCCCCACACTTCCCAGCCCCCGGCACCCACTCATCTACTGTCTATGGATTTGCCTCTTTCAGACATTATACCTAAAGAGAATTATATGATATGTGACCATTTGTGTCTGGCTTCTTTCATTTATCATAATGTTTTCAAGGTTCATCCATGTTGTAGCATGTCACTACTAAATTTCCTTTTTATTGCTGAGTAATAGTCGCTTGTACAGCTATACCACATAATATTTACCTATTCATCTGTTGATGGACATTTGGGTTGCTGCCACTTTTTGGCTATTGTGAGCAATGCTGCTGTGGGTGTAGAAATATCTATTTGAGTCCCTACTTTCAATTTTATTGGGTATATACGCTAAAATGGAATTGCTGGATCATATGGTAATTCTGTTGTAGTTTTTCAGGAGCTGCTGGACTGTCTTCCACAGGGGCTGCACCATTTTACATTCCCACCAGCAATGTAAGAGAGTTCTAATTTCATCACTTCCTTCCCAACAAACACATTTTTGACAGTAGCCATCCTACTGTGTGTGAGGAGCTAGCTAGCTCATTGTGGTTTTGATTTGCTTTTTTGATGGCTAAATGATGTTGAGCATCTTTTCATATGCTATTGGCCATTTGCATATATTTTCTGGAGAAATTTCCACCTTTATGCCAGTACCACACTGCTTTTGCTATATAGCTTTGTAAGTAAAATTTGAAATCAGCGAGGGTGAGTCCTCCAACTCTGTACTCTCCAAGATTGTTTTGGCTATTCTGAGTCCCTTGAGTTTCCACATGAATTTTGGGATCAGCGTGTCAATTTCTGAAAAGAAACCATCTGCAATTTTGTAGCAATTGCATTGAATTTGTAGATCAATTACCCTAAACGTGGATGTCTTTCCGTCTGGGTCTTAAGTTTCCTTCAGTAATGTTTTACACTTGTTAAATTTATTCCTGAGTATTTTATTCTTTATGAAGCTATTGTAAGTGGAATTGTTTTCTTAATTTCCTTTTCATCTTTTTCATTGTCACTATAGAAATACAATTGATTTGTGTGTGTGTGTGTGTAAAAAATATATATATATATATATATATATATATATATTTTTTTTTAGCTGAGCCATCCTGCCACCTGTTGGCAGCTCAGCGGCAGCTCAGCTTAGGCCAGGAATCGAACCGCTAGTTGCTCAGAGCTCGCACTCTTCAGCAAGCTCTTAACCAACTGAGCCACTTGGCTGGCCCTGTATATATATATTTTACAATAAACTGCACATATTTATTTAAAAAATTTTCCCCTTATTACTCTAGGACTTGAAGCTTTCTTGTTTTTATTACTAGTTTCAGGTGTACAAAAGAACATAGCAATTAGACATTTACACCCCTCACAAAGTGATAACCCCAACAAGTTTCCTACGCATCTGATATCATACATAGCTATTACAATACCATTGACTATTCCTTACGCTGTACTTTACATCCTATGACTATTTTGTGGCTACCAATTTGTACTTCATAATCCCTTCACTTTCTCCCCATCCCCCAAGCCCCCTCCATCTAGCAACCATCAGTTTTTTTCTCTGTATCTATGAATCTATTTTTTTTTT